CTGTTTTGCTTCTCTTGTTGTGGTAGGCTGTGCAACTGTCGTTGGTGTGGTGGCTGCTGCTGCTGCTCTTCGCTGTTTGTGGGTGGTGTTGCTCGTGGATGCTCGCGCATGCGGATGCTCAAAGCTTGTCGCTTGTGTTGGGATGTTGGTGAGTTGGCGGTGGAGGTAGGGCCACGATGGTGGGATCAGTGGGGGTGTCTGAACCCGAGAATAGTTGGTTGGTAGATGTTGCTAGTTGGGGTGGCGTCTTTGTCCGTGTGCTCGTCGAGTTGCGACGTTGTCTATGCTTGCTGCTGTGCCGGTTGTTGATGTTGTTGGCTGTGTGGGACCTCTAAGTTGCACAATGCTGTGTTATGACCTTGTCCTGGCTGTGGGAAGTATCGGCCCTCCTTGTAGGGTGCCGCCAGGTGCTGTTACATGATTGGCTGTGCAACTGTTGGCTGTTGCTGTTGATGCTGCTGTTGTTGATGTCGCTGCACGTCGCTGTTTTTGGGTGGTGGTGCTCGTGGATGCTCGCGGGGTGTCAAATTTGCACATGTTTGGGGGTGTTGTCCATGCTTCTTGCTTCTGTTGGGCGACATTTGGAGGTCTGGACATAACGGTATGATCAGTTGTCTCAAACAAGACAAAGCGCGAACACGGCTTCTAGCTCGGTTGATGCGTCTGTCGAGTTCTTCGTCCATGATTTTGGTCAGGTTGGGAACTGTCTCACGTTGGTTGTAGATTGGCTGTGCAATTGTTGTTGGTTGTTGCTGCTGTTTCTACTGCTGCTGTTCGCAGTTTGTTGGGTGGCGGTGCCGTGGATGCTCGCGGGGTGTCAAATTTGCGCATGTTTGGGATGTTGTCCATGCTGCTTCTGTTGGGCGACATTTGGAGGTCTGGGCATAACGGTGTGATCAGTGTGTCTCAAACAAAACAATCAAAACAACATGCGAACACGGTGTCTAGCTTGGTTGATGGGCTTGTCGAGTTCTTCGTCCGTGATTTTGCCCATGTTGGGAAATGCCTCACCTTGGTTGTAGGTTGCCTGTGCAACAACTGTCGTGGTTGATGTGGTGGCTGCTACTGCTGCTGTTCGCTGTTTGTGGGGTGCTCGTGGATGCTCGCGGATGCTGAAAGCTTGCTGCTGGTATTAGGATGTTGGTCAGTTGGCGGTGGTGCGGCTGCGATGGTGGGATCAGTGGGGTTGCCGCTGAACCCGAGAGTGGTTGTTGGTTGCTCGCTGTTGCTAGCTGGGGATGGTGCATTTGTGGAGTGTTGGTCGTTTTGGGTCGTTGTCTATGCTTGCTTGCTGCTGTGTCGGTTGTTGTTGATGTTGGCTGTGTTGGCGGCGTGGTGACATGATGTTTTATATGAATGTGCTCTGGGGTTGCAAATCAATGCCCTGTTATGCTTCTCACGTTGGTCGTAGGTTGGTTGGTTGTGCAACTGTGTCAACACAGCCAAAAGCACCAGACTCTACAGCTGGTCGAAGAACTCCAAACAACCGCACGGATGACACCCTCACTCTCAACTCGGACAAACATGCATGGACAATATCTCCTAGCATCCAGCATCACAGTCATGACACTGCCCGAGCACCGCGACACAAACGCATGGAAAACAGCATCAGCAACAACGGCACAAACACATGACGTCTGCAGAAACAGCCACAAACGACACCTCTAACGCCTCCTGCTCAATAATATGACAAAACACTGTGCAAGCACAGGCAACATTGCACTGGCGAAGTTGAAGAACTGGGTGACATGTGTAGTCTTCGTTTTTGTTTTTTGTGTGTATGTGTGTGTGTGCTTGTGCGTGTCTGTGTGTGTTGATTTTGGTGTTGTGCGCGGTGGAGTCGGCCAAGTGTGATTTATTGGTGTTGTGGTGCTCGTGATGCTGCTGTCATGTGGAAAATTTGAGTTCGACCCCCGAAACCACGAACAAACCCACCGGGCCCAGCGGTGCCTGCCAAAGCATGACCAAGACACTCTCGAGAGGTATGCCAAGCTCACTCACCGTGAAGCCTCGCTCATCCTCGCTGGTTCTGGGTCGTGTGTCCGGCCTCTCGGCGCTCTCGATCATGGACGGGCCATGGAAGCCAAACCAGAGGGCTCTCCCAGAAGGGTCGGCCATGGAATTGCTTCCCCAAAGGGCGCTGCCAAGAAAGAGGTCCACACTAGCCGTCCCCAGGTCGCTGGAAGGCACTCCAACACGGTCAACCGCGAGGCACCCCCCACCCGATCTTCCCGCATCCGGTCGTCAGAACCGCGATGGAACCGCACACAGGGCCAGCTAAAATGCTGCCTTTCGTGCCAGCCGCAGAAAGATCAGATGGCAAACGATGAGCATCCCTGGACACCACCTTCCGGCTATCGAGCAACCGAACACCAACCAACCACCACGGTGTTGTGATTTTTCGCTTGTTGGTGTGAGTGTTTGTGAATGTGTGGTGAGATGGCCGTGCTGCGTCCGTTCGTGCCAAGCAGATTGTCATCAAGAACTGGCACTCGGAATCCAAACTAGAACCCAATTCCACACCCTACGCCCCACGTTTGAACCCCAGGACCTCTTCGGTCCAAGCAACCTGTCCATGTAGCCTCACTTTCCGAAGCGGACTCGCCATAGGACCTGAAACCTTCAGCCAGTGGATGCTGCCAGAGGGCCTGTGCGAACGAACTCCCTTGGCCTCTATGAGCCTCCCGAGAAGCCTAAAGACACAGATATGAAACTCTCTGTTCTTGTCTGAGTCAGACATGATCTCAAATCTGTTCCACATCACGACGCCTGGAGTTGCATCATCTGTCCTCTAGCTGTTCCGAAACTGTCGGGGTACGGTGCGATGTGGCAGTCTCATTGCGCTGTGTTGCCTTCCGCCAGTCAGTCACACCCGGCTTAACGACGAAAATCACTTGATATCACTTGACTCCCTGCCTTCCCCCACGCCTCCAGCATCTAGGACAACTGTGTAATGTCCCGGCACGTTCTGTTGCAGCAAGATTTGGAGACACTAGATAATGAAACTTCCGAACCCGGCAAGAGAACAAAGCAGGCCATGGCCACATTCCACACGGAAACCTATCACTTCGGGTTCCGCTTCATCCTGATGCTTCATGCGGTGCAAAACATAACTACTGCATTCATCGGCAATCTGCAACGTGGGGATCCACCGCTCAGTTTTTCCTGCTTGCGAGTGTGCATGCAACCAAAATCAAAGCTGCAAAACAGCTCGTTCCATATCATTACCTTTGAGCAGCAGCACCTTTGCGGGAATACGAGACCTCTGTCCGGGCCTCCTACAAAATGTTGCCTTTGGCCTTTGCTCAAAGATGACTGAAACAGTCTGCGGCTGTGGCAAAAGGAAGTGCCTCCGAGCAGCTGAGATAGCGGATCAACATGTGCACACACAGTCTCGACATGTTACTTACAATGCTATGTCCAGCACCACCCTGTGCTCCTGCTTGCAACGCGCACGACCAGCAGATCTATTGTACAAGCCGGTCACTGTGCTGAGCCCAGGTCACTTGGTAAGAGCCTCAGCCATCTCATCACTCCAGGTGCAGGGAGAGAGAGAGAGAGAGAGAGAGAGAGAGAGAGAGAGAGAGCGAGAGACAACAAAGACACGTGCTGGAAGTTGCCTTGATGCTGGCGCCGCAGCAAAGTGGAAACAAACTATTTGGGAACCTGGCAGCGACACATTCTGACTGGCTCCTGGGAATCCACGGGTGTCGCTGCTCGCGAAATGAGTCAACATGATTCCAACGAGCTGAGAGTACTGTTCAATATTGTTCAAGACACAGGCACCAACAACACGTCACCTAGTCACAACGTGAGCTTGCACACCAGCCTGCTCCATGTCCTGGCAGAGTCACAGAGAAACCGGACAGCAGAAGCACAATCGTGCCAGCGGCTAGCAATGAAACACATCAACAGGTTGCTTGCAATCTTCCGACCAAAATAATAGCGATGCTCATGGAAGTCCTTTATGTGTGTGATTGATTTCTGAAATCATCTGTCCGGCCTGGAAACGTCACCGGTAGTAGCACCCGCAACACCGAACCGTCGCTTTTGACTGCATCACTTCCGTCCAAGACCCCAACAGTCGCTTGTCATGGTGGGTTTGATGACGTGAGTTTGGATACAGTAGCCTTTGAAGGCTAGTTCAATCATGCTTGTCGCTGCCTTGCAGACGACATCCTGTGAGTACTTCGCGCTGACAGATGTGCAGAACGCATCAAACCAAGCCACCAAACCACCGAATATCGCATCTACATGGCTTGTTTCTAGGGCCTGTGGATGTGGTGCAACCAACTCTCAAGACAGCTCTTTTAGCAATTGTATATATCCTGCAGGGCTATTGCAGGCCAACAGAGCCTCTTCAAGATGGACACCTTCCAAATCACGAAAGAGGGAAGGTGTTCAGCTGTAAAAAAGAGACCCGTGCGTTGAGCAGACGCCAAGTTGCAACACCAATTGATGCCGCTGCGATTTGGATTGAGTTTCTGATGCCTTCAAACTTGCGGGTTGCCCTGAGTAATTGCAAGAGGAATGCATTCTCGAAAGTAACCGGCATCAACTCGCCCCTGGACGAGGCTCAAGATGCCTCTTCCAGGGGGTACGGAGACGGCATGCTGAAGGCTGTACAGCTCCGCTTGTAGCTCAAGTGAACAGCCACCCGGCCAGAGTTGCCTTTGCCGACTAAATACCGGGACAAAGGACGAACTGGGGGTCGCCAGCGGGCTCGACGCCATGCTTTCGGAAGTGTCTGCGCGCCAAGTTTCGTGCACAGGAGTAAGAGCCTGCCCCAAACAAAAACCATATGGATATGATGCATGCTAAGAGGGATCCCAGGAATAAAACGTGGGCGCACTGGCATGGTTCTTGAGCCCCGGGGCTTCGAGTCGACTCAATTTGTCCATCTTCACATGCCAGCTAGTGTTAATGCTTGGAGAATGCGAGCCTGCCACTTGTTCAGCATGATTTTCTGACCTTGTACCAGATAACGTCTGCTTCCCAAAGTACTTCGGCTGAAAGCAGCCAGGGTTCCGACAGCAAAGCAAAGCTTCTCGCCGCACTTCTCGGAAGTTCGGGTCTTGAGCTGCCATGAGCTGCATCACCTGTGCAACATGCGAGTTTGGCGCCTGTGCTCGAAACCCGAGTTCTGTGCCAGGCCTTCTCCTTCACCTGCAGCTGAGCCACCTGAGTACGCAGGAGCTCTTGAGCTTGCCAGACGTGCCAGTTTTACTTCAAATCTCTAACCTCCCATGTCAACTTCCGGTCCGGCCTTCTTTTTGCCCAGAGGGTGAAGAGTCACAAACTCTCCAAGATCATGACCTCTTTTGACAGAGATGCTGACATAGAGATAGTCATTTGCAATCGCGGGTCTCGCTCAGAGAGAGACTCCCAAAGTAAATGCTCGGCTTAAATTCAAACGCAAAACTATCGATGCTATCAGCCGCTTTCGCCATCCAACCCACAGACAGAAGCAAGAAGCTAACATTCACAAAATACCTCCAGCACGAAGCAACCGAGCACTGCGGTGCTCGGGACAGAACCAATCAATGTCTAGGAGGCGAGCATGCCACTGCCAGTGTAGTTGCATCGGTTGACGGGCTTTGCAGCAAGGATGCGAGCATTTTCAAAGCCTGGCATGCCATTCAATCAGTGGCTCGAACTCCGGGCAGCTTTCAACGACGGGGTAAGGCCGGATGGCGGCCTTTCCTAGCAAGAACTAGGCGGAGAGACCCGGAAGTCGTTCGATTCAAACCTCAAGTGTAACATAGAAACTCCCTATAACACTTCCTCACATGACAAGAACTTTGCCAAATTGCCGTGCTTCATCAGACGAGAGACTTCATGACATTCTCTGCCCAGAACTTGCTGGAATGAATGAAGCCTCAGAACAAACGTATGTCGTGGTTAATGAGATCGGAGTGGAAGGGATAGTTTTGCTTGGGCGCCCCATTGAAGCTTGCCGGTCTGCAACTCTCGCTCGTAGCGCTCATAATTACTCATCTCGCTGACCTGCGAAAGCGCGCATTTTGGAAGCCCCGTTGGCTTGGTGCCAGTGGCACCGCAAGTGTAGAGGTCGCTTAGGATTGGCCCACCCATTTCTATGCACAGTTCCATGCGCCTCTGAGCCAATCTGTATCGCCATCTCCTGTGCAACAACGGCAGGCGAGAGCCTTGTACTTTTGAGACGGAGCTGGCGACAACAAGCTGTCGCGATTTCGCTGTTGTTCTCTTGGACTCAATCTTGTCTTGCCGTGTCACCTTAATGTCATCGTAGAGTTCGGCGTCTCGCCATTTCTCGAACTCTAGCTGCTGCACTGCCTCGTTCACGCTGGATACGGTGGGAAGGGAACTAACTCCACTTGAGCCGTCCTCTAAAATTTCGTAGGGCACTGTGCCTCCAGAATGCCTTCCTCGACAATGTCCTCGCACATGCTCTTGTGACCTCAGAGCATGGCCAAGTAGCCTGTTCGGCTCACAGGGCGTGCTTTGTCTACTGAGCTCCAGGCCGAGGAAATTTTTCAGCACAGTCAAGCACAAGCGGACAACCTGTTTAAACGACATTCGAAAAGCGAAATGTGGTGAACACAGGGATCGCAACGCCTTCTCCACACGGCTGTACATTAAGGTCTCCTTCAACTTTTTGATCACGTACATCTCCTTCGGACAAATGTCACATATCAATTTCAACCATGGTTGCCCACTTGACGGCAAATAAATAGAAACCAAGACCAGGGCAACTCGTCCCGATCATTTTCCCGAATGGCTGAGACGGATGATCGGTGAAGGAAGCAGTGTACGTTCGGCTAGCCTCGATACTATCTCTGTGCATATTGATTGGGAGTAGCAATCCTTCCACTGCCGCCCTTTACTGGCCGGCCGAGCCAATCAATGTCCGAGTGAATCTGATGAGGCAAGCACGAGCCTCAATCTCAATTCAAACGAGATGAGGTTTTGATGAAGCTTGCGCGGCATGGTGGAGGCATCACACTGATGATTGTACTGGCGTGCGCGGCATGGTGGAGGCATCACACTGATGATTGTACTGGCGACACAGGCCTTCATCTCGCTGGTAATTTGCGGATCGAAAGACCTGCAACAAACATCAGCAAACATCGAACGGCCGCACCGGTTGGAGGCGGCCACAGAACTAAACTGTCGGTCAAGCAGCAACGCCCAGATTGCGAAGATGCACCTCAAGGTCCAAGCTTCCCCATTCCCACAGCCAACTGCTCGACATCAAGTCGAGGATGCAGTGCATCCGAACGAAGCGATCTTGCTGGGAAACTTCTAGGTGCCCGATCGAAAATGAGAAACACATCGAGTCCCGTGCTGAGGCAACGAAGCCCTGCTTCATCGGAAACCAAAAAAATCTAAGTCAGACGTGTACTCACGGTCGTGAGCGCCCAACTGAGCTAAGCTTGACAGATGCCGGGAAAAACCGCTTGTGGGAGAAAAGCCCTGAATCCCGAACAGGGCGGTAGAGTACAGGAGGCGCGGACGAGACACATCGAGTATCATCACACGTAGATGCATGCAGATCAATGGCGACTGCCAGAAGACGATCCTGGAAAGAGCACACCCTGCTCCCGTCAACATTCGGATCTTTGCTGCCTGTTGGTTCTGCTGTGTCACCTGGACTCGACCCCCAATGATCCACGACGCTGTCTCTTTGGCTGGACGTCGCTCGACATGTGCCACAGAGCTCTTGTTGCGGCCACAGAGCTTGTAGAGATGCGGCGATGGTGAAGACTTGGGCTGAATCCTGCATTCAGGGAGCGAAAGCTGCTTCGCAGCTTCGGCACATGTGATATGATAATCTTCCACAGGCATTGCTCGTTTCCCTAAGTAAGGCCTGCAAAGTCAAATCTTGGTGCGAGCGGCAAAGGAGCGAGCTATGATCGGTTTGGTTTCGGACATGTTCGGACCGAGCGCAGTGGAATGCAACTGTCGGCAGAGCTTAGGATTCCGCAGGAAGATTCTAGGGTTGGGGAAAGAAACACCGACAAACTTCGTCATGTCACACCATGTCGAGAAACGAGATCTGAAGGCCGTTTTTGTGGTGCTACAGGTCGGGAGACCATTGGCCCAAGAAAAGCCTTGACTGGGAACTCTGCAACTTGCAGGGTGCAAGTCTGAAGAGTCCTAGAAGCACTTGAGAAGGCCATGCTCCGAAATGTCACACAAAAAAACAGGGTGAGCAAGGCCTGAAGATGCGATCCGGAATTCCTCGCCATCGTGGGCTTGATGGTTTTCGGAATTGCATTTGCAGCAAATCACTGGCAGCATGACTCCTGCAGAGGACCAAACAAGCTTTCTGTAGACATCTCCCTTGAGCAGGTTTGTGATTGCCTGTCGGGAGGTGCTTACACGCACAAACGGCCTGCACACTCAAAATTGCAATCGTGGGCCATTCACACTGAGAAACGAGCCATGCCGCCTCCAGCTGACCTAGCTCTGAGCAATTCGTCTTCGAGGAGTCAAGGATCTCACCCAGAAACTCCTTGACACTCGCCTGCTGCGTGCGATTGTCATCTTGCTTAATCATGCCACCAGGCCCTCAACCATCCCGAACATGTCTCGCTGTGTATGCCCCCTTTTCAGCTCGATTAGATGTTGAGTCTTTGGCAAGTTAGCCCTCGTTCTCACAGGGCAAGCTGTTTTCCTCACCCACACACACACACATACGTCGCAAGGCCACCCAAACCGCGAGTTCGCTTGGTCAGGCGGCTCCCATTTTCGCAAACTGCTTTAGATCGCTGGCCGAAAGTAGTATACCACAGTTGGCTGCCAAGAAGCAACTGCTCTCTCGTGTGGAAAGACGGTCGTGTAAGGATTTTGGCTGATGAAGCTCCCAGCCTAGTCTGGTCCGGAATTCAGTCTTCTTAGTCTCGATCCTTTATATAACCACGGTCTGCTGCTTTCGGGCTATAACTACCGTCAGCTTGTGATATGTGCTTTCTTGAGTTCAAAGTCATGGACTCTTCCCCGTTGCCTTCAGACTGCTTTGTTTGTTTTAACGCCTTGTCGTTGCGAATCTTGGATTGTTGGGCTTTGCGATGGCTTCGCCGTTTATCGCTGCTTAAAGCGTAGTGCTCTTCATTCCAAGCACGTTCCGTGGGCCGGCCCGTGGTACTCATGCCTTATGGCTGAGAAAAGCTGCATGGCAACTACTTCGAACGTAGTTTGGTACTAGACGTGGGGCGCCTCACAAGCTTCCGTCTCGGCGTTTCAGATCAGCATCGGCAGTAATGGTCCTAGTCGTAACTGTAGTGGAGCTTCGTCGTAAAGAAGCCTTTGCATCTTGCCCGGGTCTCATGCCACGGTCTGTCTTCGTAGCAATTTTAGGGACAATTCCTGCTTACAGCTCCAGCGAGTATCAGCGAGTGCAGAGATAGGCCAGGGAAAGGTTGAAAGATGCATGTCACAGCACAATCAACGGGCTTGACAAGGGCAGGGGGACCTGCCTCTGTCGCTACATGCGGCACGTGACTCATCACAGCTGACAGCAGCCATGCGACCTTCGTCAGCTACACATTCACCAAACATGAATGCGGAGATCGCACGTCATCCATGGCACGGCAGCCTTGTCGGAAGTGTAGTTCTCCAGCCCCGGCCGCTGGAGCAGCGACAGAAGAGGCTTGTAGATCTGCGAAGTGCAATTGACAAGTTCTGTATCCGCAGAGGGCCGCAGCACTGTGTAACAGCTGCCAAAACCAAAAGAAGCACCTTTGTGCACGCCTTACAGTTTGAGCTACAAAACATCAAAGGACCAGTGACGTCTGACAACGAAGTAGTGGGGTCATGTGTGCGGCTCACTTATTATTCGAAAGTGCTTTCAGTGGATTCCTGTATATAGAGATTCAGAAACGAAACTGGTATGTCAACCCCTGTCAAAGACCTCGATCCGTTGCTTTGTTGCATCCTCGAAGATGGCATATCCTTAGCAATTTTGATGCTGGCAGTACAGCAGAGCGGCGAAGTCCCTTTAGTCACGAATTCTTTCAGCCAAGTGGCCGCTGCTGTCTTCTCTCAGCATGTCGTAGAATAGGGTCAAGAGCCACTGAATTGGCTTGTCTTCTCCTCAAGAGTGTCATTGCGACAAGTTGCTTGTTTGTTACAACAGCGACACTTTGCAAGCTCAATCTCATCGCCAAGATGCGAGAACCCATCAACGCCATGCATGCTTGGAGAACTTGTATATGGCCTGCCAAGCACGAAAGCTGATGGAAGAGTCCTTCCCGTGACCTAGCAGCATTGCTTGCAGGGTTGTGTGCCTTGGATCATGGATTTGTTCTTGATTGCCTCAGTCGGCAACCAGACCGCATCGCCCACGATGAGAGGTGTCATTGAATGATTCCTGGCTACCAAGTCTGTATCCTGCAATTGACAAATGACCGGCATTAAGGCAACTGAACCCGAATATGCTTGAGAGGTCATTGGCAGAAAGGGGACGCGATGTTCAGGTCAGGGTGCTCTTCATGTCATTGCCGCCACAACAGAACAAACGACAAGACTGCCACGCAGTACTTGGCCCAACGTCAATAAGCTCACTGCAGCTGCCCAATGTGACAACTCGAGTCTCCAAGACAGTTTAAACTAGTGCTTGGCACGAACCCATGATCGTAACGAAAGCAAGCTCCGCGATTCTTCCTGGTTTTTGATCACACCTAACAGCTGAGTGAAATCCGATGAGAGAAGTAAACGCCAAGTTCATATGTAGTAGGTAGAGAGCACAGAAGCCATGGGCCTAGCCGTAAGGCTCTACTCGAGCTATGGCTTGTACTTCAAACAAAACTGAGCACATTGGAACGAACGCCAACCAACCACTGATTAAAGAAGGGTAATTAATCTTTTGAAGGTTGGGGTTCAGAGTCAAACACTTACCTGGACCTAGCCCTTCAAAACGAATGCCGGCGGTTTTCATTGTCACTGCCACATTTCGAGGGCCGAGCTCAAGCCCTGGATGGGTGGGACCCCGCAGTCAAGGGTCAGGTGGCATTCATGGTGACAAAATATACACTAACACTTGAACAAAAACTAATATTCACTTAGATTATTCGCGTGCATGCATGTCGTACCAAACACACAAATAGAATCAGACGAATTTATCGACAAGACTATGCCATCAGAAAACTGGTGGGCACCACCCTACATGCAACCAAGTCCTGGCAATTGCACCAGAGCATCCAAGAGGCAGATCACAAAAAGCTTAGCAACATGCGCCCACCCCAGAAGGCGATGCGAATACCCACGAAACACACCAAGGATTTCATGAAGCACGTGGCAATTCCATGTCTACCAGAAGCTATGAAGTCGATGGAACCGATACGCACAAAGACAAGCCTGAATATCCACAGGTATGAAGTGTAATTGCCTCCTGCAACTTCTAGGCAAGCACATGCAGCACCACACCCAGAACGGGATCGGAAGAAGCAAAACTTGGCATCTAATTGGGGAGTGCACCAGTCTGAGGCACTGCTGAGGCGCAAACTGGCGCATCTGCTTCGATGAGCTTGAGTATGTGCGCTGAACTCTTGGTTGCCTCCCGAGCCGAAGCAGTGCACTGATAAATTAGTCAGGTGGGATGCTCGATGGGCAGGTACAACCGTGTTTCCAGACGGCACGTGACGAGTCAACGACACGGTTCCTCGTAGCTCTCCCACTCGGGCTTGAAGCTCAAAATGTTGTTGTGGATCTCCGCGGCCTTGGACAGGTCGACGCCTGCGGTGTCTGGCGACATTCGACAGGGGGATTGGGGGATGCAGCGTGTTTCAAAGCCTTGCCTCCATCAACTCTATACTTTTCAATGAGGCTCGCAGCCTCCGCCATGGCCTCGAAGCATCAGAAAGGAAACCCTGTCGTCTAAACTCGAACAAAGGCGCGAAAACACGACGGCAAGAGCCTGGAAGCAAAGCCCCCACTAGTCATCTCTCTCTCGCTCGCTTCCTTCCTTCCGTTGGGGCAGAGTCCCTGCGCGGACCCGGGCCGAGGCCCCCCGTTCCCCCCTCAAAGGTGGAATAGGGCATTGGGTCAAGAAGGTAGTGGGTTCAGCTGGTAGAATCCAACCCACAAGCATCCCCAAACAACCAACCCTGTACATTCACTGCCCTCTATGGCTAAATCCTTGGACCCTCGACGGACGTGACTCCCTTGCTGAATCCTACGGCTGGTAGTCATCCCCTTGTTCAAACAGACACATGTAGAAACACAACAAATGAATGCTTGGTTCACAGTACGCTCTCTTCTTCTGCAGGGCATAAGGGGCGGGTCAAGCCTCCCGGCCTCATGGGCCCCCATGTGTTATGGGGCTTTCGGCGGGCGTGAAAAAACATCGAGTCCCCCAGTTTGTGCAACAAGATGTATTGGACTATATAATTACTGGGTTCATCGATGATGGGCTTGACACATGCACGATCCTTTGAGAAATGGGTCTTCACTTCCCACAAGTATCTCACGTAATGCAAACAGTCTATTAAGAAAAAACAGAAAAGGTCCCCAGTTCGCACTTGTACGGATCATTCAGCTGGAAGCCCAAGGGGACGACCAGGAAAAACATGCCAAATTACTTCGTGGTCGGAGAGGGCGGGCGGAGCGAAATCCAATTAGTGGCATGGTCCACAGAGGTGCGCGTATATTACATCCCCCGAAGGGGTGATTTAAAAAATTTCGGCAGGCGGGTTGGTATAGATGTCAGCCTCATGGAGGCCTTTTTTGAAAAAAACATTTGCAATGCAATTAAATCAGCAGTAACACGGAGAGGGTCTGCAACTACGTAGCGGCTTCACTGATCGAAATGACAGGAGCTGCAGCAAAGACTTGCATCATAATTAGAACAGATCGTGACGACAGTCTGCGTGCTCAGTACTGGCAGGGGCTCAGCAAAGCTCAGAACACCACATATGCGGTATGATATAAAGGATGAGACGTCGTAAAAAACAGTTCATCGCCAGCTCTGCGCCAAAGCAAGCCGAACACTGCATGATCACGACAATGGCCCTAAAGTGCTGGAACACTTCAAGTTCGTCCCACAAGGATAGCTTCCTGATCTCACTCGGCTCGGACACGTCGAACTTTTTCGCAGTGGGGGTATCCCGACACAGCACTTTCAAGTCCGTCGCAGTGACGAGGAAGAGGACTGCAAGAACTATTATGGAAACTCGCCAGACGGGGTCTGCTGCGATGCCAGACATAACCATGGAATTGGCAAGTATAAGAATCATGAAGATCTGCGCGACACCACCTCCCAAACTTTCCCATCCAGCTGCTGCGGCCTTCGCAGTTCCAAGCACAATCGGCACGATGATTATGACGGAACACCAGAACTGGTTGATCAAGAAAGTGCATCCGGCGCAACCGATGAAGAAGCGAATCAGTGCATACTTCCAGGGAGCGGGGGCAGTCATGCCATTGCCTTTCGGTTCCAGGTACCTACCGCGATTTTAGATTTACGTCGTAAGGGGGCAAGGATCGGGGCGCACGGCACCACTCCCCCCGCTTGAGACTCCGGGGTCGCGGTCTATGGAGAAGACGTCGTAGGCACCTTGAGCCTCTCTCTCTCTTTCTTTCGCCAGGGTTATGGTGCAGGGGGGTTACCCTCTACACCGCGCGCGACTGCGCCCCCGACTGTTGTGGGGCCAGTTGATTAGATGCAAGACCCACGACTCGGGACGTGCGGTAAATCACGAGCATCCGTCGGCAACTGGAATCGGGAAAGTTGCAAAGGGTCGGAAGAGCATACATAAAGGAGATGCCGCATGGAGAAGACAAGTATTCCAGTAAGGGGTTCTTCCCCATTGCCTGTGGGTTCGCTGGTTCTGCATGAGGCCAACATGAAAAGATCCTAACAAACGATCCTGAGAACCAGGTCATTGTTGGTTGGCTCATGCTAACCGGACGTGGCAAAGTGATATTTCTGCTCTCTCTTAGTCTGGCTTCACAAGGGCAGCAACACTCAGCAATACGAGGAACAGACCAACCATAGGGAATCACAGGACGCCAGGCAGTTGGGAGAGAGCTGTTTCAAATCTGAGGCCATACTGTTACTTCCCAGAAAAGCGTCAGAAATGCGTGAGAGCCGCTAATTAGCTTACAAAGTCGGACCCCGTTGGTGCGGGGGAGGGTATCTTCGAGGAAACTGGAGGCTCCGGCGGCCCGTCAAAAGTGTATTTCACAGAACATTGAGGCAAGGGGCAAGCACTGCAAGCCCACCCCTGGTAGCAAAGGTTAAAAACCCTGCAAGTATGCGGTGTTGACATCGAGTGGAGAGATACACATGCAAGCGGCCCTGAAAAAGATCTGCAAATAAAAAGTGCTCTTGCATCGGCGCTCAAAGACAGGTTCGCAGCCTAGCAAGCACAGCGAACTTCTCTGAAGACTGCCTGTGGAATGAGGTCTTTCAACTAGAGCTGGGGATTTTCCCCGCAGTAATAGCGCTCACTTGTTGCCTTTCGTCTTGCCCCAGTACTTCCACTCTCTCTTCGTGCCTTTATCTGGATGCCACTCTTGTCGTCGCCGCTGTTGGCGGCGCAGGTCTCGGTAGTCGGTTTTCGTCGCAGCTCTGTAGGCCTTCCACTTGGCCTCATCCGTGGGGTAACTGTCCAGGTCATAGGGAACGTTCCCCTGGTCATCTCGCTGTTCCAACAGTTGTTGAAGCCGTCGGTGCTGGGGAAGGGTAAGCGACGGCGGTTGTCCCGTAGGCGAAGCCGGTGCACTGGAGGCATGGTTGCTGATCACGTGCATGGCCGGGTTCCCCCCTCTGCATCGTCTCGGCCAGGTAGCGGATCATCTGCTTGAGCTGCTTGCTCTGATTTTGGCGCGTAGTCGTCTTCGAAGACGTCAATGACGGGGTGTAGTCCACGTTGTAGTGGAGGCTTCTCACAGTCTCCCGATTGCTGCGGCCGGTCGCCGTACTGGGGCGCAACAGACATGTAGGAGGGCACGTGGTCGGTGCCGAGGTCGTCCGTCTCGTTCACGGCAAAATCTTCTGGGCCTGGTTGCGCACCTGTAGCTGTACCTGTGGCAGTGCTCGCATTGGACCATCTCGGCTCGGCGTGGTTCTGCTTGGGAGTCGTAGTGGTGGGGAGTAGCACCTCCACGTTGCGTACATGGGTAGTCGCTGTAGTGAGTGTTCTGGAGGCTGGGGACGTTGCGGCGCTGAGACAGCAAGTGCGGCACCGGCTTTTTGCGGGGTAATTCCCCAAAAGGCTGATGTGCCCGAAGAGGCCGAAAACGATGTCGCTGTGGTAGTAGTACTGACTGGCATCATCGGGCCTTCCCCCGTCCTGGGCCGTGGGGTCCATGACTGTGCTTCTGGCTCTGTCAGAAAGTCGCTGTGGTGGCGTTGGTGGCACAAGCGCCGCTGGCGGGCTTGCCAAAATGCACGGACTGGGCTTCTCGACGACGATGACTGGACCTCCTGGGGCTCTCGAGTTATTGCATCTGCGTCAGGTCCGAGGATATCACGGAGGGATGCCGCAAGGGGTCATCTGCAGCCAAGTCACTGCAGATAGTAGTGCCAGGCAGCGCGAGGTCGCCCCGGTGAGGAAGAGCCGTTCCTCTTCTTGCGCTTCTTGCTTTTCAGACCTTTGGCATTCTCCGGCTTGCCTTTCAGTGGAGAGGCTTCGCGCTTGGACCCACGATCCTTCCATCGTTCTGCGATCCTTGGAGGAGTCCTTGGAGTGGGGGGGGGAGGGGGTGGAGGTGCCGAGGAACTGGAAGCAGCTTTGGCTCGAAGTGCTTCGTCACGGGCTAGCTCTATCTCTTTCTCCAACAAGCATTGCCTGGCATGGGCTGCGCTCTTGACGGTGGTACCAAAATATATGCAGTTGTCCGCCTCGGGGACATGCTTAGCATGACACTTCGTCCCAAACAGGCATCTTCGGCACAACAGGTTACCAGTGTCGGGGTTGCCCAGCGTGCGTAGAGCTCGTCGGAGTAGTAGTGGAAGCGGGGGCGTCCCCCTGAGCTGCGAGAGCTTCCTGAACAGCTTTGTCAATTTGGCGCTGGCGGAGGTAGGCTTGTGCCTGCCTGGGTTCGGTACTTTCACACCCTGCCAAGATGCAGTTAGCAGCATCTCGGCGGTGCCCTCCGTGGTGTGAAGGACCATCACGGCAGCGGAGGCAAACGATGCCCGTCGGAGGGGGTTGGCCCCCCGCTGTCCCCCGACTGCTTTTACCGGAAGAACCCATCATAGGCAAAGAATTTATCCTCGGTGTCCCTGCCAATATCACGATCACGACGTTGGGGATGTCCCCGTTCGAAGAAGCTCTTGCGGAGAATCGTGTCAGTGAGGTACCCGCTGAGTAGGTTCGCCGAAGGCCTTCAGGAAGTTGTTGATAATCGGCAGAAGGAAGAGGCTGTAGGGAGCAGCGGTCACCGTGCGGGTCCGAAGACACCGATCTCGAAGGAGACGGCCTGGAAGGTGAACAGCGCACAGATCTTGTTCACAAACTCCCGCAATGCGTCAGAAGAGTGAAAGAAATCAGGCGGAGAGAAGAGGGCAAAAAGGTTGTCCTGTGGGGCGCTCAGAAGAACTCTCTCTCTCTCTCTCTCTCTCTCTCTCTCTCTCTCTCTCTCTCTCTCTCTCTCTCTCTCTCTCTCTCTCTCTCTCTCTCTCTCTCTCTCTCTCTCTCTCTCTCTCTCTCTCTCTCTCTCTCTCTTTCTTTCGCCAGGGTTGTGGTGACGGGGTTTCCGCCCTCACCGCGCGCACGTGCGCCCCCGACTGTTGCGGGTGCCAAAGGGGCTGAAGGCATACAAAGACAACCAGGTGCCTCTGCAAAGAGAGATTGCAGGACTCTATCTCAGCCACTATGCGATCTCAGAACATACCA